GCCTTTCTGCCATTGTTTTTCTAGGAGACGGAACACACTTGCTTGGTAAAGCTAGGTCGTTGAAGATAAGTGACAAATGAAATTTTTTCGAACAGTACTTCTAGTACCTGTTAAGTTTTCGTAAGTGGTCACAGATGAAATATGTGAAGATCTTTCTATCACATGCTGCAGGAATTTTCCTAAGGATAGGTTTCCGCTGATTATTGACTACTTGTCAGTGGCTTTTCTGCAAATTCGGGTTTACATTTCATGGGGAACCATTAAAGGATCAAAATGTTTCGTAATTTTCTACTATATTTTCCTAGCAAAAAATTAAAAATCTGAAATCTCGATCATCTAGACAGCTGCCTTTGTTTTAAGAGTAAATAAGAGAAGTGATCACGATTTTAATTCAGTAGCTGGAAAATATGCAAGCATAACCTTGTATTATCTATTCAAAATACCTTTGTAAAAAGAGAAGGTACAGTATAAGTGGAGTAATTTTGCTTTCACTTCATCAGCAGGACCCAGCAGGAGTATATGCAAGCAGAAGTTTCCATCATCTGTACACTATGCCTTTGTCTAATGGGTGGATATGTTGACAGAGTTTTCAACAAAATGAATTAATGAATGATCAACAAATTTTGCTAATTGAAAGCTGAAAATCAGCTAAAAATCATAAGCATCGCAACTTTCCAAGACTAAATTGCTAAAGAAAGTCCAGAAAACTTGCAAGACTGTTTGTACTTTTCCTTTTTCTGGACATGAAACAAGAGGTTTTGTTACAAAGTTGTTTTATGCTATAAGTAGGGTCAACGATAGGCAGACACTCATTGCTTTCTAAGAACAAAACATATTTTGCACTTCGACAACACAGATACCAAGCAAACCATTGAGTAATGAGATTTCAATCAAGCAATCAGCCGCGCAATATATCATCGGTAAATCAGTTATTTTTTTATCTACAAAGACGTAGGAAAAATATGGACTGGACTGATGGACAGTTGGACCATTGGACAATCCTTCAGGACCTTTCTATGGACCATTTTTTGGACTATCTATT